CAGCGTGACATCATTCAGCTCGACTTGCCGCAACACCTCCCACAGCTTCAAATCATCGTACTGATTAAAGGGATCCAGATTGTAACGTAAACTCTCGGAAAAGAGCACAGGTTCCTGTGGTATAATGGAGATTTTGCAGCGCAGATCACTCAGGCCCATTGAACTTGTGTCTCGACCATCGATCTTGATCTCGCCTTCTAGACCTTCATTGAACAAGCGAAAGAGCGCTGAGATCAAGGAGGACTTGCCGGTGCCAGTTCATCCAACCACCCCAACTTTCCAGCCAGGCTCGATGGATACGTTCAGATTCTGTAAAGCCCGATTACGTGTTAAAACACAAATAATGTTTGTAAGAATGAACAGACGGTTTATTTTATACTTTCAAAACTGGTGGATCATCCATATGATATTTCATGTTGACATCCTTCAAGATCAATTGTCCTTGGGATGGCCATGTAGGTGGCGGTGGATTGTCTGAAATAATAGGTTCCTTCTTGGGAAGGTTCGTGTACTGAAGAATCCTTTCCACGCAGGTCATCAGTGACACCGACTCGCGAAACTGTTTTATGGTGTATTGTACACAAACGATTAGGATCAATGACGACATTGCTAGACCTGCTTTGCTGCCGGCTACATTGCCTGTAGTATAAAGAACAAAGAGAACATACAATTGTTTGAAGAAGGAGAAAAAGAATCACACGCAGAAATAAGGATTGAAACTAAAAGCTTATTTAATTCTACTAATTAATTCTTCTAAATTGTAGCTTTTTACATCTTTATAAAAATCTTCGAAAAAAATTTAACTCTTATTATCTAATAACCTATTAATTAATTAAATATAATTTACCAGTCTCATTCATTGGTATTAGAGAAAAGCAAATGCAGGCCAGGAACAGGCACATTATTAAATCCGCAACAACAGCAAAGGCTGTCACGCATGTTAAAAAGAGATACCATGTGCCACTGTGACGATCTTGCAACTCATCAAATCGTTTTCGCATTAATTTCTCGATTTCAATGCCGCTGCTTCTGATTGTCGGCAAACCATTCAGAGTAGCATTTACGTACGAGAATATGGGACTCTTCACTAAAAACGCAAAAACATATTCAAAAAAACTTTTAAAAAATTTGTTAATGTAATGGGTAATGTAAAAATGTGAATAACTTAAAAATGTGAATGTTCTTCGGCAGGAGTCCACAAATTTAGACATCAAAAATGTAATATATTACATTTTTGATCTAATAGCCGCATTTTTATCTAATAACGTGTTATTTGCTCTATTATACTTACTTACGCCTTCGAGACGTTTGAGGTCTTGACCAACCTTCATATAACATTTCGTAGCGAAGAAAAACACGATAACTAGTATGGCTATCAATATCAGCATCCACTGATTAATTATCGCCTCCATGATCATTATACCACATACTACGCAAAACCCCTGGATCGCCTCCAACATCAATTTGGGCAACCATTCATCCATGATGCCCATATCCTTCGAAAATCTGTTTAAAATTCTTCCTGGAATACAAAAATCGTTAACTCTTTGCAAGAACCGAGAAAAGAAATTACAAGTCCAGGAAGCAATAATTTATTAGAGTGAAAATGCTTGTATACTTTTTAAATAAATTAAACAGAATCGTGGCTTACGAGTATTTCGAGCTTATAATTATAATGGCTTTTAATTAATACAATTGGCATTAGTTACATAAAAATAATATTCTGAAACAAAATTAGTCAATTTAATCAATAATTTGTATCTTTGATATCATAAATATGTGCAAAAAAAATCTACATTATCGTTAGGCTTCATTTTTTTATGTATAGGTATAGCGATCAACTTACTAATATCACAATCGACAAAAATATATTGGTTGTCTAAATCCCTAATTAACGTTTTGAAGACTCTCAAAAAAGTTCTAATAATATTTTTAATAATTCTTATATTTTAAATTTATAAAGATTTCTTTTTAAAAAATATCTTAATTTCTTGATATTTTTTCAGTTTTTCTTTGGAAATTATAAAATGAGGAATCTTGTAAATTCTATTTCAGAATTTACATCTATCTATAAAGAAATTTAGAAAAGTTACAAACTTTTTCAACACTTCTAAAAAGTCTCAATTCATTTAAAAATTAAAAAATCTTTCTAAAAAATTCTAAAATTATACAAAAATTATGAAATATTCTAAAAATGACTTTAAAAATATTTTAAAAAATTGTCATAAAAGAATTTTTCTGAATGTCTCTGTAGAGTAGTTAAGACGACTATCGAATTTCTGTGACTCACCGGAAGGATTATTGTGGAAGAAGGACATGCGCGTCTGCAGCAGTTTGAAGAACATGATGTTGTGAAGGTTAATACTCGAGTTCATAGAGACCTTCATGTAAAGAAAGCTGCGAAACAACGTAGTAGCGATGCAGGCGATGATGCAGAATGTGTAAACGTGTATGGCATCCATAGTGCTCAGCAGGGTTCAACGTGAAGATCGACCCAAGGAAACTATTGTTGTACATATTCGCGAATTGTGTTACGTCACTAGTATTTTCAATACGCCTAACATCCTCCAAGGTAGTATGATAGCCAGTAATCATTCCCGGTAGTGGCGATCTGACTGATGATGAAGATCATCAGCAGTACGGATAGCGTGAAATTATTGCCACCGTTATGCAGATATTCCTTGTACACTCTGTCGGCTACTCGACCGTGTGCCGACATCTCGGCTTCCGGGCTATTCTCCACATAATCCGAATCATTAGTGTCCGAGTGCTGCACGATGGCAAAATAATAATCTTATTATCTGAATTTATCTCTTATAATAGACGTAATCTGATAAAGTTAATTCAATTTGAATTATTTAAAAACAAAGGAAATAATCTTAAGAAAATATGTAAATATTTGAAAACTATTTAACTTTTTTGAAACTTAATTTAAAAACTTCTTCCGCGCTTTATTAATTGATAATAATTAGTGAAAGTATATTAGAAATCTTTTATGTGCAAAAATAATAGATATTTTTTTAAATTATTTTGTATTTTTATTTTTATTCATGTCCTTTTTTTCTATTTTTATTTTACGTTTTTATTTTTCGTGCTATCTATTTTTATTAAATAAATCTAATGTAAAATATATTTTTTTATTATAAATAACGAGTGATCATCTTACAGCGATGGAACTTGTAGTCGATAATCTTGATATTTGTCTCGTTATTATGATTCTCTTAGATATTTCCGAAGCTCTTCTCATGTCCTCCTCATTTCTTTGCGCTTGGATCAAATTGTCCAACATCCCAATGAAATCTTTATTTGATTGTACTAATTCGTTATAATTTCCTTGCATTTTCACGAAACCCTTAGAAAACAAAATCAGGATATTTAATTTAAACAATATTCAACCTTTATCTTTTAATTAATTATATGTAAATTACATATAAATTAAATGTTTAAAAGTTTTTGCCAGTTTTTATTTAAAAAATCTTATTATTTATTAATTTTTATTATGAAATTATCTAATTTTTATGTGTTATGAATAAAATTATGTTTTCATTACGATAAACAAAATTTTTAAATATTCATTCAGCAATAAATTAAATTTGCTTTTGTCATTATTATATCTCAATTCTTTACTTTTTAAAACAAATTAAATAGTCAAACTTTTAAAATTAAAAATTTAATTTTAAAATTAATTTAATTTTAATTTAAGATATAACTAAAGAATATTCTATGTTACTCACTCGATCCAGTACGACAATGTGATCCGCCCTTTTAAGGAATTGCAATTGATGTGTGACAAGGATCCTCGTTTTGCCGTGGAGATATTCGGTGATGCACTTCCCATAGAGATGCCTAGCAACACGAGTATCAACCGCGCTCAAGGGATCGTCGAGCAAATAGACATCCGCTTGTCTATAAACTGCCCTTGCGAGATTGATTCGCGCTCTTTGACCACCGGATAAAGATACACCTCTATCACCGACCATTGTCATGTCTCCCTGCGGAAATTGTCGAAAATCCTTCGTCAAGGCGCATACATTTGCTACCTGAAACATTAGCCAATTGATCAAAAAGACACTTTAAAGAATATTAAAAATTCCAAAATTAGGAAATATTAGACATTCTTTTTCTTTTATCTAAATGAAATCACATATAGATCAAAGATTCAAAAAAATTCATAACACATGCTAAAATATATCTTCTTGTATATCCAGTCACGAAGACGTAATTCATGTTTAATGATTGATGCGTAAGATCTACCATAATTGTAAGAATTGTTACCAGACACGTATAAAAATTCCTGATTCTAACGTGCAATAGCAGAATAGAATATATAAACATTGTACAATATCCGCAACAATTACTTTAGACTATGAAAATTACCTGCGCGTATCTAGCCTTATCATAGGACTGGCCAAACAGTATATTGTCCCTTACGGTACCACCGAAAAGCCAGGGTTCTTGACTGGCATAGGAGATACGCAGATTTGGATTGTTCGTGAAGTATCCAGTGGATAAATTGCCCGGAAAATTATACTTCGAGGAGCCCTGAGTAAGGATTACGGAACCCGTGCCGGGATTTAATTCCTTCAATAATAGATGTAATATGGACGATTTGCCGGAGCCCACTGCACCGACTACAGCACACAATTGACCTGGCTTGATAGTTAAATTAATATTGCACAAAGTTGGCGGCAATTGGCCACTGATCCAATTGGCGGAAACTCCCTGAAGCTTTACGTATACCGGAAGATCAGATAATCTTTGATGTTCAGACAGAACGACACTCCCATTTCTCGAGTACCTGTCTATTTGATTCTCTACATTAGTTTCTTCCTTTGATTTCTGAGATTTAAACTGCGGCGTGTTCTCCGAGAAGCGTCTCGTGTTCACTTCGTCCATCAGCAAAAAATCCTGTAAAAATTAAGCGCACTTTAATAAGTACGTGACAATAGAGATATAAGAATGATTGTAGATTTAAATTCACCGTAAATTACGAGAATATAATATGATAGAATATAATATGATAACATATATCGTAGAATATAATATGATAACATATACCTCCAATCGATTGAATGACACTATTGATTCACCCAGCAGTATTAGCCCTTGTGGAAAGTACAACGCGACGACGAGTTGAAGTATGTTAAAGTATGTCGACATTTCATAGGTCACATCGGCAGTCAAATTATTTCCCATTAAGACGAACGTTATCAGGGTGAAGTAGACGGTCAATCGTTCAGTGAAGACTATGATGGCCAAATACGCGGCGCGCACGTACGACGAGAATTTAATTTGATGGATCTCTAATTTTCTGATTACTGACACAATCTGGCTGAACGGTTTCTCCCAGGCGTACATCTTCACAACCTAAACCGAGAATTATTATTTCATAAATTTGTTTCATAAAATTGTTTTATAAATGACTTGGGCGTTAATATTATTCGTATTATTCATATATTTATCCTCTATATTGTTTAAGAATAAAGTAACTAATCAACTTTTTAGGGATACCTGTATCCCAGCTATGAGTTCGCTCATTAGTTGTACTCTTCGGTCGGTCAGTGGCGCAATTATGATTCTGAGTTTGAGATTCAAAAAGCTCAAAGTCCCTTGTCCTGGGAGGACAATGATCAACAACGTCCCGATGCCAACCAAACACGAAATACCGACTTTTTGCCACATTATTGTCCCTATGATCGCGGTCTGCGAATAAAAATAAAATTAGTCAACTAACAGACAATTATTTAAGAGCAACTTCGAAACAAGTGAAAAGAAGAAATCCTACGTCTTTATAGTTTAAATTAACTGACGAGTTGTAAAATGTATACAAATAGCTTATATGCATATAATTAATATAATAGGTTTTCTACAAATTATACTATAATTATTTAAAATTTTATATTTATCATTAATCTACAAAAGAGATTAATAAATTTAAGTTAGAA